TTATGCGTCTGACTGAATTGACCAATCGCAGTCGATTATTCTTACGACTACGACCATTGTAGACAGAACCGAGAATCATTGTAGCGGAGGCTTTATGCGTGGTCTACAATGCGAGTCACAGAGTCGTAGTCGTAAAAATAATCGACTGCGATTGGTCAATTCCGTCAGGCACATAAGAATTGACCAATCGCAAGTCCAGAAGCAGTAGCTTCTCATGCGTTCATTCGCCCAGATGTTTTTATCTATCACTCGAAAACTATTGCGATTTTTATAAAATGACACATAACTTTCCTTTTCAGTTTAACCCGCTCTCCCTATATACGAGCGGATGAACACCTTATCCGTAACACCCTGCGTGTATATTCATTTAAAATTTCGTACGGCATACACGCATACAATGGCGATTTCGTGGCGCGCGCCGAAAGCGCCGCTAACGCCGCTAACGCCGCGACATCTAGCGGCGCGTCGCGCGCAGCAACGCGGCTGCCCTGCGTCGTAGCGAACGCGAGAACGACGGTTCGAATATACCCACCTCATCGTGGTCCTCCACCACGTAGACCGGCGTCCTCTTGAAGTACTTGCGCGGGTACGACATGGCTCGCGAGCGCGGCGAACACACGGACCTGTTCGCAGACTGTCGAGATAGCCCAACGACGATCGACCGGGCAACGAGACGCGCGCGTAAAAACGATCGATTTACCAATTAACGCCGCGAACGACGGGACGCACGCGGACACTGGGGGTCGCGGGCACGCGGCGCACTGCTTCGCGCGGAAGCACGTGGTCGCAGACTGAAGTTCACTCTTAGGCGCGCACCTCAAACGTGATCATTTCGCGAATAAAAGGGACAAGGGCACCGGACAGGGGTTTACTCCGAATTTCTCACGAGACGAGTTTCGTAAGGTGGTGCCCCTTTTTTCTCTTGCTCTAGCCCGGCTTCCCCCTCACCCCCGGCCTCCCCGCCACCGCCGGTCCCGAGGATGAGGACGCCTTAGAAACCTGATCCTTCTAACACAGCCGGCTAGCCGGCGAACCAATGTCCCGGCGAGAGTATCATTTGACAAAATTTATCCAGGCAGATCGGATAATGTTTAACGCCGAGTCACTGCCCAATATCTCGGCATGTTATTTAACGTTGGGATAAACGTTACCCTTTTCCGACGACGATTCTGTTCTTAGGAAAATTTGATACATATGTACCTCTGCATTTTATTTTGCTCGTCTTTATCATTGTTTGAGAAAAAAAATGGAAATTATTAGAGTGCGAATCAGATATTTTTATCGAAAAGTAAGACCAAATATTTATCACACCGAGTTCGATCCGACATCTCGTCTAACACACGTCTCTCGATATTTTTACTCGTGTCGTACGATTAACAACGCAACTTCGATTGACTCTGCACTCTTCAACCAAGGAGCGCAGTCATTTTTTGACCAATATCTTATTAACGTAACGATATTGGCCAAACGAACGATATGAGATCAATAACAATTGTGTAAAAAGATTACTTGAAAAGGGTCCAAAGCCGGGGCCGAAACGTGGTTTGTTTTTTAAATAAAAACATTGGCCAGTGTAGGTCGTTTTTGAAGAACTACACATCATTGGTTTCATATTACTGGCGATATTAAATCTATTTGTGATTTATCATATATATTGATATTTCTCCAGCCTCCACATGCTATATATACACAACTATTTAACACCCTTATAATGATTATACTGAAAACTTAAACAATCAAAATCTTTCCTGGTATTAGATCCAGTACAGTTCAATGATTATGAGAGTGCCTAATAATTTTATCCAAGACATACACTTTTTCTCTCTCTCTCTCTCTCTCTCTCTCTCTCTGTAAAAAAAATAAGATATCCAATTAGCCATTTAGATAATTTTAAACCATTTACAAATGAGAAAATTTATTTGTTAAATATTTATTTGTACAGGAACATTTAAACAACCAACTAATCAATTGTTCTTTCTTATTGATCGCTCCACGCGACTTCCTTTGCAAAATAAAAGCTGTATGCATATTTACATACGCGTCAGTAGATCTCATAAATTTTTACAAAAAGATGTACACGATAAGATATCCCTACTACTGACAAGCGACAATATTCGTTCGATGAAAGACTACACAGGATCCGATCGCGAAAGATCAATCCAATTGCATAACCGCAGGTAGCGTCGAATCGGTAGGGAAAGGTTACCCCCGGCACACAGTTCACGTCTCGCCGATGCGTGTTAAGTATCGGCGATGCGTGACCTTTCGCTATCGATCGATTCACATGTCATTCCTCGCCGCCGCCGCCGCTCGATCATAAACCCATCGTGAGAAAGGAACCGAAAAACCGGCAATACGCTCGCGGTACAGAATCTATGCGAATGTCCCTCGCAAAATCAAGCGCACTCTGTATCCCGCTTATCAGTCCAATTCCGCGTGGTTATTGATCGTACATCGTCCAATTCTCGAACATTTGCGATTTGTAGATCTGAAGATGCAGCCGGTCGGTTTGCTGTGTCAACGACGACAGGAATCTCTCAATATCCGCTTCACATGAATCAACATTGTCTACTAAATCATTGCCTGGTCTATGTTCTTTTACATTTGTAGGATAATTATTGGTCTCCCGTCCCAAGTACTGCGGCGTGCGATTAAATCGCGGTGACTGAGCGCGTACGTGGGAAGAATAGGAATACGCAGGTGCACACTCGCTCCACTGATCGCGATAAGTATGATTCGCTGAGCACGCTTCCTGATCTAAATCATAGTGTAAATTAGAACCTGATATCCACGGAAAGCTTTGCACTGGATTCGATACAGGTTGACGAGTTTCCTTTGCGTTCGCATTTTTACATGAATCTAATGCCGTCGAATATCTCGCGGAGTTAAATGAATTATCTACGTCTACGTTATTCTCTGGGTCGTGTTTGAGTGACTCTGCGCGTCTATCGTGTTTGACAAACTCATCGAAAGTATTGTAAACGATGTTATTTGTTTGTACAGACGTATACTTGGGTTGCACGTTTTTAACTTTACTTGGCTGAACGTGCCTCCCGCTGGACTTTCGGCTGCTGGTGGGTGGCACTTCCTCTCGATCGTTCGAAGCAACTTTATCAGTGTGCAGGCGCGCATCTTTCTCAGATAATATAAATGACGACTCGCTTGAAGTACTGCCTGTTTCTTCGTCACTTTCCTCATTTGTTTGTCCAACTTCTGTAATTTTGTATCTTTGATTGGGGATTGTATTAGAAGAAACACCGTGTTTCGTATCTTGCGCTTCGCGCTTGTCTCCATCAGCAACAGTAACTTTATTAAAAACTTCCTGCACCTTGTTTGTCTTTGAATCTATTCCGTTTGTTACATTCGTTACTGGAACTTCCACTTGAGAAATTTTCTGGTTTTGAATGTCGCCATTTAGATTTTGCGAAAGTACTGGCGTCTCAAACATTCGTTTATACTTCATCAATTTATCATTTTTTGAAAGAACTAGATTTCTAGACTGTTGTACATCGTCCGTTGATTCATCATCTTTCGCACTTCTTTCCGCTGCTTCCTTGACAAGCACCTTCACTTCCGAAAATGCTAAATTTTGCTCTTTTATCTTCTGAATCACGTCACTCATTTCGGTTTCACTTAAACATGCCATATCATCTATTATTTCCAATAATTTTTTGTAGGGATTTTCATAAGTTCTGAAATATTGTAATGCCTTGCGGTATTCCTCAATATCAGAGTTTGACATCATTAAATTTGGCATATATTCGTCAATGTTTATATAAGGGTAAGGGAAAAATGCGTTAAATTTAGTTCCTAGTGTACAGAAACGGCTCTTGAAATCTTCAATTTCTTTGTACATATCTAACAAATTATTATCTGCATTAGATGTTGAATATATGTAGGTGTCCTGCACCTCCTCTTCATTACGAATTTGTGGAAAAATACACAAGAAAGCCCGTTTCTGTATATTAAGGAAAGTCTTGAGAGTTGAAAAATATTCTGCGTATAATAATTTATAAACAGACTCGGTCATGCCTTTATAGGTACTATCTAACAGATTGATTTCAAAGTCGAGTTGCTCCTTCCACTTGGAAGCTACTCTCGATAGAGATTCTTCGTCGTTACAAATGTTATTGTCGTTTTCAATAATTTCCGTAGCATATGTTACCAAATAATTATTTACTATTGTCCGTATGTGATCGTTCTCACTGTTATCTAACTCATTTAGAGGCAAACTGTGCACCAAATTGTACTCTTTTGTAGAAGATGTATCCTGAGAAATTTGTATAAACGTGTTTTCGTTGTCATTCTCTTTTTCAGAGTTAGACGCAGAAATTGACGCACCGTTTTCTTCTTTTACGATTAATGAACCTTCCATAAATTGAATCACCCTTTCAACTTCGGCGTCTGATAATACGCAATCCTCCGTATCTGATAGAGCTATTTTAAATACGACATTTTTATTCAATTCTTCCATAGGAGAAGATTCATCTGAATCAAGTGTAAACGTATGTACATTTCTCGATTTGAATAAGTTTGCAATTTTACTTTCTTTAGAATTGTCAGCTTCAGATTCTGCAGTAGAGATTTTGTTACATTCCTCAGAAGTATTAACTACGGCATCAGTTTCGTCTTGGACGTAATATTGGAATAATGAACTAATCTTTATCTTCTCATTTAAATTAGATCTTGGTTTAACAGATGTACCATTGGTGACAGTCTCGTGGTATCTTTCGTTTTTCGACGATTTACATTTTTTACGTTTCTTCTTGCTATTTTTAGTTTTTTTAACATTATTCTTTGACGATAACGTATTCATCGCTACGTATTTCGGCGAAACTTCACATTCGTCCCTTGTAGGAGCGTCATTACTGTCTATTGAAAAAGTATCACTGCTTGTTATATTCTCAGACGAAACGTTGTCAGATTCGGGTTTCACAACAGAAGCATTTTCATTATTTTCTAATGGTGAACCAGTACTTTTGGCCGCTGAAGGTGATACATGTTCTAACATAGGCATTTTTATAGGCGCACCATTTTCAGATTCAAGAATTGCTTTATCAATGGTTCGAGGCTTTTCAAGACTTGGTTCACTTGGTTCAGGTTCCATATAAAATTTTTCAAACACTGAAGTATCATCAGCCCAAACATCTTCCGTATAATCAGAACTGAGCTTAAACAAATAGAAATTCGGTCCACCAATCGAAGATAATAATTTTCTGAACGATGAAAGCTCATTTTCGGAAACAATTGTGATGGAGACGCCAGAAGATCCGTAACGACCAGCTCTGCCAATTCTATGCAAATACGTCGACGGATCGGTAGGTACATCCAAGTTTATGACCATATTAACATTTTCTATATCTATACCCCTCGCAGTTAGATCCGTGGTCAGCATTATTCTACATTCTAAATTTCGTAAGTTTTCAATCGCTTCCAATCTTTTCTTCATCTCTTGATTTCCAGCAATATGCGAAGATGAGAAACCCAATGAATTAATCTTATTGCTTACTGACTGAGCTCTACAATAACAAAAATAGTGCAATAATTTAACCAATTAAAAATACTAGAGATTAAACAACAATTAAACAATAACTACATACCGTGATTGATAATTTGAAAAAACTAGGCCTTGTTTAAATGAAATCTTGGTAAAAACTTTTACCAGCTCCTCAACTTTTGTTTGCACCTAAAAATATGAACAGATAAATTATACGGAATGTGTTAATGAAATGGAATCTCAATTCTTGTGGATGAAGGAAAAAAACCTGTTTCATCGCATTGGGATGTGCAGGCACCACAGCTATAAACTGTCTGACTCCAATCAAAATTGGTCCGTCGATATTTGGTGATGTTAACACTGGTGAGCACATGTAAGTTTGCAGAAATGTTTCCAAATCTCCAGGATAAGTAGCACTCAAGGCTATAACCTGCTTGCTGGATGGTAGTTTAGAAAATATATAGCTGTAAACGAAGCATATTAAATTTAGTAATTTGCAAGACAAATTGTTGATAGCAAATTTGATTCGTTGCAATATACGTTAATAGAGGAAACTCTATCATGAGATTGCAGGTTTTCCAACACCCAAATTCAATTACAAATCTTTTTCTGCAACGATTACACAATCTAACGATGAATTTTCCGCTAAACAGATTTCGCTCCAAGGGCAAAAAGAGGGCAAAAAACATGGTGGAATCAACTGATGATGCCTATTAATTTAACAGAAACCCCACTATCCCATATTAAGATCCTATCTCATAATAGGAGACTTTCCTCTATGGATTAAAGCCTATTATACATAAATGTATCTAGATTTATATGTACATGCACGAACATGAGTTTTTATTTCACCCTTAATCCTCAAACTCAATACTAACTTGATGTCCTTTTGAAAATTAATCTCCATTAATTTGTCCGCCTCGTCAAGAACAAATAACCGGACCTTTGGAACGCAGAGAAATCCCTTTTCGACTAAATGTTTCATTCTGCCAGGTGCGCCAACAGCTATGTGGCACTTGCTAAGTTTTTTCTTGTCCTCTTCTATCGACAATCCTCCTACGAAGTATTCAACTCTCAATCCTAAAATGGCAAAAGTAATTGACGAAGACGCAATGGTAAATTATTACCAAGTACACACACAGCAATAATTCAGACTGTACCTTCTATCTTGGAACCTATTGCCTGAATAACGTGAGTTATTTGAATCGCAATTTCCCTTGTAGGTGCTAGTATTAAAACTTGAGGCGATTCTATTGAAATGTCTAAAGTCTCAAGAGCTATTACACCAAATACTATGGTTTTCCCAGTTCCCGACTTCGCACGTACTATCAGATCTGGAAACCATTAACACTTTTAATATACAGATATCATTTGGTCGTTCTTTAATATTACATATGTAGCTACGATCAATACCAAATCCACAGCGGCCTAACGGAATGGCTTTCAACTGGATAGGAGATGGTTTTTGAAAGCCAGCAGACATCAGTCCATCCAGAACGTTTCGTGGAAGATTCATTTGAAAAAATGTAACATTTCCTTCTATTTTTATATCACTCGTCCTCTGTTTCTTGCTTATGTCGTGTGCAATGTGTTGAGCCATTTTTTTTCTAACAATACAGATAAACACACGCAAATATAAGTAATGTCAATTAAACTATAATAAATTGAACGAAGGAATAGCAGCAGAAACGTTTTCTTTCTCTACAAAATGTGATTTCTATTATATACATATATATTTCTATTATATTCAATTATGTGGCAACAAATATTTATTACTCCTCGATTCAAATTTCCCCAGAGAGTACGTAAAACAACGCGTTAAAAAATATACAATAATATTCGTTATAACGTTCAACCTATTTAATATATGATATGTATGTATAAAATAATGCGATTTATATAATTATATACAAACTCTTGCACACCGGTTTATCTCTCGGAAGACCGTAAACACACGCTCTCTCTTCTAAACTCACAAAGCGAGTGCGTTCAGGAAACACACGGTCATCGCCTACTTAGAATCTGTGAGAAGCATCCACTAATGGCTGCATTCAATGCCTGTGTCCAGCAGAAGTTTGCGCTTGCTAAGCGCTGCTAAGCGCTTTGCGTTCATTGGATTATACTTTCAGATCTGTGCTGAAATAGAGCTATTCTTCTAGATCTATCCAATCAGCATAAAGCGCTTATTCTTAGCTAACTTCGGCAGAACACAGCCAATGCGCAGCAGTTTTCCCTGTTGAACGCAGCCAATCAGAAAACTTGGGGTCTGTTCTTTTTAACTGAACTGGCTGCACTAGTTCAGAGCACAGTATAACCAGTAGGGGCACTCGCTCGATCTTTTGTTTCACGTTCGCGCCGATCCGTACTGCACATCCGACATGTTTTTATAATGACCAATCACAGGATTTTTGTACGTGTGTTAGTGCTGGTTAGTGCAAAGTCGGTGTGACATTGAAAAATTCGCAGTGTTGACGAATAACACGTAAATACTTTTATACGTTGGAGCAAGTAATTACATTACTTTTATTAAAACATTCTTCAACATCAAATTTTGATTCTTCAACATCAAATTGTAATTCCTCAACATCAAATTTTGATTCTTCAACATCGAATTTTGATTCCTTAACATCATATTTTGATTCTTCAACATCATATTTTGATTCTTCAACATCTTGTCTTGCTTGTGCGTGCGTGCGTGCGTGCGTGTGTGTGTGTGTGTGTGTGTGTGTGTGTGTGTGTGTGTGTGTGTGTGTGTGTGTGTGTGTGTGTGTGTGTGTGTGTGTGTGTGTAATATACTTAATGTATATTAAAAATATTAAATGTAATAATTTGGTAGATAATTGTCTAAGCATGTGGTATAATTACTATAATTGCACCACTCAGCACTCAGGATTCCTAGTAATTTACTAAATTGCAAACAATCCCGCAAGTAAAATAACACCGTCTGCAGCGGGCTT